GCATTTTCATTTAGTACTTTTGTTTTTGTCTTTTTTTCAAACTAAGGTAAGTGTTGTGGAAAACTTACAGGGGTGAATGATATTGGAAAAGGTTGAGAAGCAGTACCTTTATGAATGACCAACAGCAGCATTCCCAAAAGTACAGCATTAATTTTACAGTTCTGAGTCATATTTTTCATATTAGTGCAAAAGTTTGAAAGACAGACTTATACAGAACACTAACAGTAACTTGTACATGCAAGACACATTTTTATAAATTTTTTATTAAAAGATATTTCTTTATCAGATACGTATGACATTTGCCAAAGTGGTATGAATGGGATTTTGTGAAAATTATTCTTTGTAATAGTTTTACAAAAAACAAAAGCAAGTAATTACAGTTACATGATTTGAGTTTTGTATTTTATGAAACTAGTTATCAGCCTTTCACTTCAACTAGCCTCATCTCTCTCAGAAAAAACAACAGGAAGAGAACTTTGAATAACACAAGTTTGTTAATAAAAGTTTGAAGTGATTGAGTAACTACTTACTTACTACTAACTACTGTCCCAGCTGCAGTGAATGGGTTAAAGCATTGGGTCGGTCCCAACAATCAACTTCTAACGGGTTTTATCAATGACAATAAATTGAACGAAAATAAAGCCAAGTGAAAGTACCACATGATTAACCTTTTTGCCTCGGGTAAGTCAAAGTTCACTTGTCACATTCTTTCACAGAGTTACATTCAAAATTTAATGAAACTATTTTAATATTAATCCAAATGAATATACTCAGCATCAGAACATAGATAACACATCAAAGTTTAGTATTATTTAAGTTTTAAGTTCTTAATTTTATAAGGAAATATTTTTAAAAAATTCTCAATCTCCCCTTGTATAAGAGCTGTGACATTTGTTACCTATGTCTTCTCTTTTCTCACACTTATTTTCTGTAGTTGTTATATTGTTAGCAAATGACTTAGAAACAAAATGAACAGTACTGTCGGGACTTTTGTATAGACCACGAAATTCCAAAGTAAATCTCCTGAGAATTTCTACTTCATTCTTTTCATACCTATTTCCTATACTTATTTTACTGTTAGCAGCTGAGGTATTAACCTTTCAAAAACAAAGCAATGAATTGCCACTCTAGGCATTAGACGTTTCCTGACTTCGAAAACACAGTTGGGTAGAGTTTATCAGCTTGTTTGTAATTGCAACAAGCATTGTCTAAAGTACTATATAAAAGTGATAGAAAATATTTATGATATGGCTGTATACAAAGTCTGATCGATTCCAATAAGATTGTTAGGTATTTGAATGTTAGTTACCTCCCGAGAGGGTCGGGATTTAGCAGTATAGGTGTAAAAGTGTACAAGAACTTATGAACATCCTGTTACTTTTTAACCATACTTACACAGTAACCAATAAATGCTTAGTTACCAGTAATATAGCTAAGGCACATTTTGGTTTATCTAATATTTCTAATTTAGCCTTCTTGTTAGGCACTTTAGAAGCCTTACAGAGAAGGGATATTACTGTAGTTTATGCAGATAAGTTAATTCATTGCATTATACAGTTTTTAGAAGCGATGAAGAAACATAAGGGTAAAAAAGCCTTAGAAGCAGAGAATGCCATTAAGGAAATGAAGTTTCATTAATAACACTGACAGAGAACAACAACATTATTTCAATCAATCATGGTCAAATTTTAACGAGTATCATGAACAATATGAAACAACAATTATTCACACCAACTTCTTCTCATGACCCAACTGGGTAACAGCCAGGTACTTCTAATTCTATAACAAACATAATTTCTGAGCTCTGTACCTTACAAGTCAATGAGAGGCCAGCAGAGATAAATCCAGGCTTTGGAGAAATGGAAACAGAGTCCCTTTGTAAATGTTTCAGATTGCCATTTTCAAAACCAACCACAGCATACAGACTTTCTAGACAACTATGGCCACCATATTCCATCAGATTTTAATCCTTTAATCGGGTGTTAAAAATCATCACATGCAGTTCTTCCAAATGCAAATGAGGCTTGAGAAGCATGAACCTTATCATTACAGAAACAAGGTCTAGGCTTTCAATCAACCAGGTGACAAGTCTCATGTTCATTAGCTTCATGGCCCTCCGATTCTAAACTGGAAACCAGATGACTATGGATACAAATGGATTAGGTGTTATCGTTCGGCATCTGACACATGAACAAGAGCAGCCAAGTCCAAGGAACTCACTATAGACCAAGTTTGGAAGTTCTGTTAATAAGTTATCCAGGAATTCAGAAGTTCAAGGTAAGAGAAAATTAATTTTTATTGTAACATTTTCAAATGTAGATTTCAATTACAATTTACAGCTACTATTTCTGAAATATATGTTTTATGTATTGGTAAAGTAATAAATACTCATCATAGTAACACTTTTAAAACACGTTCCCTCACTTCTTTATTTAGCACTACACCACTAGTTACAATTTGCAGTCATTCCAGGTAGAAAATAGTGGAAATTTATATTTATATCTTCTTTTTTTTTTTATTATGGTGGTTACGAGGTCAGTCAAATCAAGTGACCTCATAGCATTAGGGTAAAAAATAGCAGAGAAAATATAAAGCTTTTCTGAAAAAAAAACATTTGATATTTATTTAGGAGGTTTTAGAAGTTATGCAAATAATATTTGAAATATTTTCAGATAAAGAAAAGTATTTTTAATCTTATCATGAAAATTATTTTGCATTCATAAAGGGGAAACAACATGCAGTGTACATTGTAAATAAAGTTTTTCATTGAAACTGAAGTGCTTTTTTTCCCCCTTTATTAAATTCTACTTATGGTACCCTTGAAAATATCACTGGCACTCTCGAAAAAAAAAAGTTGAGCGTCTGGGACCCTTCACTGTGAAACCATAATGAGAACCCTGACATAACAAGTTATATTATTTCTTCCTTATCCTT